ACAGCCTTTTGTACCCAAACAGCTTGTACCTGCAGTCGCCGCAAAGCCATGGGGTTCAACGCCAAGGATGCAACCCCGGCGGATTCAATTGGCGCCGTTGCTTTTTATCCAACCTGAGTTTATCAGCCAAAATGGAGTGAACACTCTGTGCCACATTACCCACAAATACTATTTGTTTTCCAAAAAAGACATGGCAAATTGGTTGTTTTCTGACCCACCCAGCCATGCAACCACGCAATGTCCTCCAAAATCAACTGTAGAGCAAGCCGCTCACCATGGATCCACCCGCAAAGTTTGGAACCTCATGGGTCCACTTGGCCGTTTCAGTCCACTATTTACAGTAGACATTTAGCCCCATCAAATGTTCGACCGGTGCTGGTGCCTAAACGCTTCATTGGTGCTACCACTCAGACTCTGTGCGCTTGTCAGCCCTCCCCTTGTATTCATTGCACCCCCTTGACATTGAATGGGGGCATCTCAGTTTCATCATGTCCTCAGTGGCTAGTCACGTCTCACGATCTCAAGCTCAACTGGCAACACAACAAGCAACACAACAAGCAACGATAACAAGCAACACAACACGCAACACAACAAACAACGATAACAAGCAACGATGACAAGCAACACAACAAGCAACACAACAAGCAACACAACAAGCAACACAACAAGCAACACAACAAGCAACGATAACACAGTTTGCGGATTGAAATGCAAATATAAACTGGAAGTTCGACGAAATCCCTGTGGGCAACGCTTGCCTATGGCCTTGAACTCAAGCCTTCAAACAAGAAACATGTAACAACCAATTCATTCTTTGTTTTCGTGTTGCTTTGTTCAATTGTTCCTTGGTTCTCTTGCTCCTTCCGCATGCTATTTGTTTCCTGGAGGGTACCACCTGAGGTCGCTTTCAAGGGACACCAAACACGAAAAGCTTGAAACCAAACCAAACACACACACAAACACGACAAACCCTTGCTTGGGGATTCTCCTATTTTGACGCATGCTTCTTCGCCAGCGCAAAAGCCCCCTGCCTCTCTTGGGATTCTTGTGGTAGTAGATATGCAAAGGCGCCGCGCCCGGCCCGGGCGACACCTGACAATGAGGCTGCTTTGATGTCTTGCTCCGGTCAGGTAGCCAGGGCATGGGTATTGGAATACATACAATATGTACCCCCTACTCAAAATACCCGCTTTTTCAGCGTATTTTTGGGAAAACCTGTGGTTTCCGTGGTGGATGCATCCTTTTTTGGTGGAGGGTCGACATCATACCCTGAAAAAGGAGGGTATTTGAATACATACAATATATTATATACCCCTGCTACCCAACGCACACCTCGTTCCAAGCAGCCCAGGTCAAGGCACAAATCCCTAGAATACACTGGGACGCTGCGTGCTCAAGTACTAAGATGGGTCTAAGCAGGCTCCGTGGCCAGCAGGCGCAGAGATTCACTCCCACGTGCAGAGATGTTGCATATAATATATAATGTATATCCTGGTGTATAGAAACATTACTATAGGATATTTACATATCCATACCATTAATATTTATATATACATATACTTTTTATACATATTTAAATGCTCTACGTAGCTGCAAATCCGCACATGCTAGGATGGTAAGTGCTCTCTCGCGGTCTGAAATAGGTGTCTTCCTCTCGTCAAAGCAGACCATGTGTATTTCCTCGAGGCCTACATCTACAATCGTCCAGTGATTTCCAGCTGTTGCAGCACACAACTGTCTGGGTGGCTCCCCAGGTTTTGCAGAAGCGAACAAGAAGCCTCCCCATGATTCTCCAAGTTTCCTTACAAAATCAGTCACCAGTTCCGCCATTCACTCCAAGTTTCGCTTGGCAGCTTGGGCTTTGTTTTGGGCTGTGAGCTTGGAAATAGCCGAGGCAACTAGGGCTCATCAATCGAGATCCTCGGAGTCACTTGGCACACGCACGGCTCAAAGCCATTCCCACCATCATTCTGGTGGTCTAAGTCATTCAAAAACTAAAAGCATTGTAGAAAAAGAAACAAAGACAACAAAAGTGCGTGCGTTTTTGGGTGGCGGTCCTTGTTCTTCGAAAGCAGAACTGCACTTGCTTCAAATTCAAAACTCGCTTGTCCACTGCGATATTGACGAGCCCAACATCTTACCGCCCCATGAGCCGGACCAAAGGCCACGCTGAACTTTGGGGGCTGAAGAGGCATGTCAAAAGTAGCACATCTCCAAGTGGGTGTGGGTCAAAAATAGGGGCCCAAAATGGCACCCTGGTAAATGGAAAAGTAGACTAAAACCTGCGTAACCCTGGGACTTTATTTGTGAGCCACACCCAAATGGGTGTGTCTTGTCTTGAGGGTACCTTTTTGTTTGCTTCTTACAAAGGACAACCGATTGGAAACCACAATTTTTGAGAGGGATCCCTGTCTGACACAATGTTGATTACAAGAATTGATACCTTTTAGGTCTGTCCTGCAAGGGTTTTTGACACTCCGCCATTCTTTGCGACGCCGGTTCGCCTGCCTTGCGGTAGAGATCCTTGCCGTTTGCCTTCTCCGGCTGCAGCAAGTACTCCCCTGACGGAACCCCCGTGAAGGGGCAGAATGATTTCCCCTTTTCGGACTAAAAGGCACCCCATCCCACAACGAGTTTGCTGGACTGACTTGTGTGTCATTAATGTTGACATGGACGAGAGCCATCATTTTTCCTTGTCACTCCCATATTAGAACAAATATTATGTTGATATCTGCTGGAAACAAACAATATTGAATTTACTTCAACAAAATGCCAACGTGGAAATCGACATAGGGCACATCTGCCTCCACAGCCCATCTCACATGTTTTACTTTTTTTGGTGTGCACCACTCATAGACAAACTCAGGCTATGAAACAAAACCAGGATTGTTCATCTTTGGCCCTTCACGAAAGAGTCCAAATGGAGGCATCCCCTTTTTGAACAACCCTCATATGGAATCGAAGCGTGCGCAATGGCCACTTCTTGCGGCGCCGTTGACTGTTGACCAGAACCCCCAAAAAGAACTCGTGGTCGGAGATGAATGTGTGTCTTGGCGTGCTCTTCAGGTTTGATGACCAACCCATCTTGGCCCCAAGCTCTATTGATGGCATTAGCTTTATGCTCACTACGTGCAAACAAAAGCAAACCAAAAGCACACATGACCGTCTCCAACACAAACTCCAAAGCCTTTTTTGGAAGTCACCAGGCCTTTGCTCTGCAAGAGCTATCTCAACCCTTTTTCGCTGTAGCGAAAAACCATACTTCTAGGGGACACTTTCCCATTCTTTCCAGGGATCCTTCTTTTCAGAAAACCATCAGAACCCCAGAGGAACAAAACGATCGGTTGTTGAAAAGAATGACAAGAATGAAGAATCAACCCCTAGATCTTTCGACCATGGCCGGCTTATTCTGGAGATTGGGCCTACAGAATCGCGACTTGAGATGAGACCTGAAGCAGGGTCCGGCGACCGTCTGAGGCCGGTGCCATCCAGCTCGGTGTTGCTGCAGTACTTCACCACGACGTAGGTGTTGCACACCTCTCCGAGCATGGCCGGTCAACACCGTTTTGGGATCCCAGTTTGGGTTTTAGGTGCACCACCCATTTTAGAACCTATGTTAACGGGGATTGGGATGTTCACTGGGGGTACGATTTGGGTTTTGACCCATAGCCATATGTGTCGATTTCGATTTCCGGCGGTAATTACTTGCTCAAAAACCAGTCTCGGCATCTACCATGTCCTCACAGAACTCCTGGTAGCTCCTTAGCTCCCTATTTACCACCAGCTCCTTGGCTCCCTGCCAACCACCTGCTGGGCATCTTTGCCAGGATGGCTTGTGATAAACCGAGATGCGAGCCGCCAAGCCCAATTGCAATGGAGCATTGAACGGAACGAGCGAAGAAGCAAGCCAGGTATCAAACCATCCGTTGACCATCGGATCGATGCGAATTCGACGGAAGCCAAGACTTATTGAAGTTACTCTTTAAGCTGAAAGCGAGTGCAAACCTCCATTGCCAAGGGAACACTGCACTCGCACCATCCCTGTGCACCCGATATCTAAAGACCCTCCTTCAAATATAATTCTGCGACGGAATACCAACAATCATGAACAATGATGCAACTGAACCCACACACACACACCCACTCGCTCACTTACCCACTCACCCACCCACCCACCCAGCCAGCCATCGACTGACTGACTGACTGACTGACTGACTGACTGACTGACTGACTGACTGACTGACTGACTCACGCACGCACGCACGCACGCACGCACGCACGCACGCACTAATGCACGCGCTTGAGAGCGAGAACGTGCAAGCACCCACACACACAAACACACACACACACAATCACACACAATCACACACAATCACACACAATCACACACAATCACACACACAATCACACACAATCACACACACAATCACACACAATCACACACAATCACACACACAATCACACACACAATCACACACACAATCACACACAATCACACACAATCACACACAATCACACACAATCACACACAATCACACACAATCACACACAATCACACACAATCACACACAATCACACACAATCACACACAATCACACACAATCACAATCACACACAATCACACACACACAATCACACACAATCACACACAATCACACACAATCACACACAATCACACACAATCACACACAATCACACACAAACACACACACACACACACACACACACACACACACACACACACACACACACACACAAACACACACAAACACACACACACACACAAACACACACACACACACACACACACACACACACACACACACACACACACACACACACACACACACACACACACACACACACACACGCAAACGCGTAGCGAAAACCCACACACACATAAACATACGGGTGCCCGTGCCGGGAAGTTGGAATAGGGGGGATGAATCGCAGGTATTGTTCGGGGTATGATTCGAGGACATGGTTTTGGGTATGGCTCGCGCGGCTCTGAATTCTTGTTTTGTGGCCTTGGGCGCTGCAATTCACGTTTACGCTGGCAAGCAGAAAGCCGCAAGAAACCGAACCGCTCCCACAGCTAGCCTCCGACGCTGCCAAGAACGCGGTGAGCCAGACAGAGCTGCGACAGGTTAAACAGCCGTGGCATACCGAAGCCTGACGCCTCACCAGTTGCCAGGGCATTCTCTGCGGAGCCGCAAACACCTGGCAGCTCAGACGACGGCCAAACCCTGATAGATGCAACACGCAGGTCAGGCAGCTGCGACAAACCACGCTCCACCTCATCGGGTTTCTACGCAGGAAGGGAGTTCAGCATCCAAAACATCAAGCAGCAGCAGGCAAAGCAGCCGCGACACTTGTACTTCACTCGCTTGGGCCCGAGCTCTAAAAGATTGCGCGTGCGCGCTTTGCTTTTGCGCGCCGGTTTTCACTCAGCAGTTCCTCCTCACGAGCCCCAAGAGCTTCCCCCCAGGCGCTGACAAGAACTTGTTTGCTTTGGCACGCCCGCCAATGAAAGGATGGCTTCTTGCTTGCCACTTCTTCGAGCACAGGCCGCTCTTTGCAACGCTCCCCGACTGCACAAGCAGAGCAAGACAATTCACTCTCGCAGGACGCAGCTTGCAGGGGTTCCAACTTGTCCTTCAAGTCGCTGCAAACCTTCCGGACCGAGCTTCCAGCGATCCTCTCTCCGAAAAGGGCTGCGCCGTTCCGCAATCCCCCCCTTTGTTTGCCTAGCTTCTGAACATCTGGCCCCTGTAGCTTCACTGTTGCTGCCCAGAGCGTAAGAGGCTCTTGGTTGCAAATGGCTGCGAAAGGGTATGAATCGGGTATGAATCGGGGGTATGAATCACGGGGAAGATCTTTGCTAACGAAAGACACAAAGCGAGCATGGCTAAGAAAGGTTGCAATCATGCGAGGCAGCTGCCACGTGGAGCTATGAAGCAGAGCGTGTTGACCCGCGCAAAGTCGGCAAAGGTTTCGTCAGTGGTCAAAGTCAAACTCTCAACCGCGTAGCAGGAAGGGCGAGATGTCCGTCACAGAGTCTTCAAGCCTTCTTGGTCAATTTTTCGACCCGCGCCGGAGCGGCAGTACACATACAAAAGCCGAGCGCACAAGTCCATTCCTTGACGTAGGAGCAAAAGCGCACTTGGGATGCGGTACACAGCCGAAACAGCTAAGCAGCTCATGAGCCTACCCACTGTTGCAATGCAATTACGCGAGTGTCGCAATAAGCCGGCCCATACACAGCGGTCAGCTGGCGCGCGACGAATTGTGAGCTAACCTGTAGATTTTACCCTAAACGCCAGTTCGAGTACAACACTGCTTGGGGACAGACAGTTTCCTGCGTTACCCGCACTGGATAGGCCCTAAACAGGCTTACAAGGTCAGCAGTTCTTGAAAACTCCTTGGATTTTTTTCGGGGGTATGAATCGGGGTATGGCTCGGGGGTATGGTTCGGATGATTCGGGCGTATGGCTCGCCCAGGTCTCACTTCCCGCGCAGACTAAAAATGGGCACGGCAAAAAATACAGACCCATCAAACGCGCAAAGATGTGTCACGAAGTCATGCAGTGTCAAGCAGTGTCATGCGTTGTCATGTGTACAGAGCCGCACGGTGTCACGTAGTGCCACACATTCGCGTAATACAGTCGCTCACTGTGTCGCGTACTACACGCTTATACACGTACACACCTGGCAGGCACAGATATGGGCTCAACACACTCATGTATGTGTAGGCTACAATAGTGCTATAAAGTTTCAACATGGTAATCCGCCCCATGGATCCACAGTCTATCCAATTATGCTGTCATCTGCGGTCCGGTACCTGTTTATCCAAGAGATGGTGAGTAATAACAACACATTGTACGTGCATCATTCTTTGCATTCACGATTGATAACTGAAGAATGTGAGCAATCAAATGATCTTTGAATATGTTGTCTTCTGTCAGGAACATGCCAAGTGAATATGTATGCACACTCATCCAAGCATCTTCGTCCAATTTCGTCCACTTTCATCGATTTTCAAGAACTTCCAGCTGTCGAATATAGAATATATCTGTTGGTGGACAAAAATCGTCACAATAGCTAGGTGGAAACTGGAAAATGCAGAGGCACGTGCTGACATGAATTTGGGCACCAAAAACAACCACAGAAATCAGTGCTTTCCTGGGTTAAGCTTTATGCCTGCAGATTGCTATAGGGATATGTTCTGAGATGCGTCAATCCGCAATCCAGAAAGAGCAGTCTGATTCATTTCTGTTGGATCGAGGAACCTTGCCCTTTTGCAACCAAACGCAATGTGCTGCATTGCACTTGACCCACGGAAGCGGGAACAATTCTTAAGATTGACCTGGCAGCAGTCCCAAACACAGCAACATGCAACCCACTGCGAGATTTTGAGACTCAAAGTTGCGTGCTGGAGAAAGCCTCAACCAACATCTTCTTGGCATTCGTAGACACGAGCCGACCCATTGGACTGCGGCTTCGCCCAGCCTTGGTGCTGCCTGAAGAGCCAGCGCCTGAAGGCCCAACTTCAAGAGACAAGTCGGATCTCAGAACCTGACAGGTGGTCCCTCCAAGGTCGCCTCCCACTCTTGCCATGTTAATAGGGAGGGCAACTGGAATCCTGGAATGCCTGAGATATAAATATTGCAATGGGCATTTGATCTCAGCTAGGTCCTCCAGTAGAGAGGTTGGAATAAGGGTGCCCTTTTTTCGGTAGTCTATATTAGTAGGGGAGCCCTCCTCCAAAAAAGGGTGAAAGGGCACTACTGGGGGACCTAGTCAGGGATCTCTCTGGGACTAGCATCCACGGCAACTGAGTCCACGATTGAGGCGCCGGTTGAGGCGCCCGAAAGGGAGCCACTGAGATCGGCAACTGCCGAGCGGCTATGACATGAAGATATGACCAACCTGGATCCTCCATCTCCGCTTTACTCCACTGCGATGTGTTGTTTTGCCTCTCTCTGTGTTTCTTGTTAGGAGATTTCAAGAAAAATACTGAGTTTCAGGAGTGCGACAGCAGCCAATGCAAAAAGCAGGAGCGACCCATGAAAAGGAGAAGTGCACATTGAGCAACGTGGTGACATTGGGCTCAAGAGCAAGTGCTCAGCACCGGCTGTATCCCAGCACCGGCTGTATCCCTAGGTAAGATGCTTCAAACGATTTTGTGGGCTCGAAGAAGCTTCGAACGATAGCATGCACGTAGCTGACAGGTCACATGTTTTGCACCGTGCGGCAGTTGCATCCGGAGCGCCAACATGATCTCACACCATGTAGCCAGTGTACGAACCCCTGATTGAAGCCTTCAGCCCTGCAACTGAGCCATGTAGTCACAGCACCAGGTTTGCCAAACAGGGCAAATTGCATCCTGCAAGGGTAATTCAATCCCTCTGACCCAACCAGTTCTGCAATTTCTGTTTTCTATGCGATCTCAATGGGTCTGAATGGTTTGCCATGGGTGGCGAACGGCAGAAGAACTTGAAATTGTATTGAAGCGACGGATGCAAGAAGACTCATCTATTTGTTGGGCGCAGGATTGCATATTTCGTTTGGCCTCTGTTCACATTGTCTTGCTTGACCCAACTTGGATCCGACAATTCTGATCCTGCCATGCGCTTTAAAGTCTTCTCCGTTCAGAAGCGTTCAAATAAGCGAGCATGTGGTCATCAAATTGTCTTGAGTCAAGCCTCTACATGCACTTAAATCCAGAAGGAAAAAAACAACCTCTCATTGACCGCCCTGGTCACTGAACCATGCAACTGATCACGGCTTGGAGAATTGTCAGAGTTCAGGGTGCAGCATCTATTTCTAGGAGTGAACATACATTTCCGGGAGTTGATTGTCACTGCCTCACCCCTCTGGTGCACCTGTCCGTATCACTTGGGTTCTAATTCCGCTGCGAGTTTTTGAGACATGCGGCTCGCTCGTCCGCACGAAAATATTTTCGTCGAGCTCTGCTCGAGAAAGACCTCGGGCCATCTTCGCAAATGGGTGTTGGGCCCCTCCGAAATGGGTGTTGCGCTCCTCCAAAAGGGGGGGGGTGTTCGTCCTGGTTGCCCTTCTTGGGGCTGCCTAGGAAGGGGAGCCTGGACATGGATAGTGCTCATGTGGATGGACCAATTTACTTCGCGCCAGGGATGAATGAAACCCTACTGGGATATGCTGGCACAAAAACCACTCACCAACTGGTGCGAAGTGGAGCTTTTGTCCACCCAAAGTACATACGTGACAGGATTTGGCTGACCCTGCCTGGTGGTAACAATTAAACTGACAGTAGGGTGCTACGCACGTTGTTGTCCTTCGGCAAAAAGCTGAAATCCGTTTGTAAGAGCCCGTGAAACGGGTCCTTTGAAGTCAACAAATTGGGACACCCTCCAAACAGATGGTTTCTTCTTGCTGCCCTTGAAAAACCAGCCCCAAGGGCACTCAATTTGAGGGCTCCGGCAACAAGGCATGAATGCTAAGAGTGCGCTTAGCCAAGGTAAATGGAATGTAATTAAGACCATGTAAACCAGTGCCAACCAACTATTTCTAACCAAACTCGCCCAAAAAGGGCACCCGGGCATGAGTGGTAGGAGTGGTATGGTCCTCCAGTAGAGAGATTAGCATAAGGGTGCCATTTTTTCTGTTGTCTATTTTAGCAGGGGAACCCTCCCCCAAAAAAGGGCAGAGAAGGGCACTACTGGGAGACCTAGGTGGTGAGCAAAGGCGACAGCCCCCGCAAATTCCTTCGCGCCTGCACGTGCGCTAGAGGCACCCGCCGCCGCTCGAGCGGCCGCGGTGGGAGTGGCTCCTGCAGGCAGGCAGCTCGCTTGCGAGCTGAGTAGGGGTGGGGGGTGGGCTCTTTGCAATTGGGGGAGCTTCAACTGGGCCAAAAGGCCACCGTTTCACTCCCTTCGAGTACTTGTGGTTTGAGTTCATGTAGGCTGGGCGGTTTGGTCTTCCACGTTTCAAGAACTATAGGGGTTCCTATCGCGAAACTGACAATCAATCAAGGATGGGGGGAACCACCCAACCCGATTTTTATTCCTGTGGTTTCCCTACTGTGGATGGACGAAATCCTGCACCACCTAAGAAACCATGGAATGATGACTCCCCTGAAAATACCAACAAACAATGGTGTCCCATGGCTTCACTGTGGTGCAGAATTTCGTCCATCCACAGTATAACCCAACAACAGCAACGCCAAACAAACCTGATACACCCAACCATCAGCTGCTCTTTGGTCTTACAACGCCCCCCTGCGTGTCGCAAATAGGGACCCAACACCTGGAACTGAGTACCTTCAGTTGGGTCAAGTCCTCGCAAGAATTGAGATCAACCTTATGATGGTCAAAACTTAAGCTGTACTTGAACAACTCCTGGCGCATTCTTATTTGATCAGCAACGGATCGACATCAAATAATGTCATATTGCTGCTTCGCGATTGAGAATTAAGACCCACACACACAAATGTTACGGCGCAATCGAGCGTGTAGATTACCACCCTCGTTGCGGTTGGGTGGATAAACTCCACCATTGTTTACACATCAGCAAACATGTGGCGAGTTGGTTCGTCCACTACAAGCAGGAGCAACAAGTTGAATTCTGCCATGCTTCGACCACCAGTACACTTGGCCGCATATGGCGGTTGCCAGAAAAGTTCTTCTCCTGGAAACTGCCCTTCCGCCGTTCCGTGAACCTTCCGTCTTCCGCGCGCATTGCAAATCACAACTGAGCTGTCCTCAGATCCTCCCTAAAAGTTTAACTTTTCGTGGGTTAAATGAAAACTACCACCAAACACTAAAAGGCTAAAAGCCTAAGGTGATGGCTGAGAGCCACCAAGAAAACTGCTAGTTGTTGCTGACTTTCGTTTGTTGGTTGCTTGCTGAAACCTGGTGAGGAGCTTTCTGGGGCGGAGCTAGACCTGGCGCTCCGGAGCTCCGTTCTTAGGCCACTGGAGCCAGGCAACTTTGATTCGATTGGCGTCCTTTTGGGGAAAATATATGGCCCAGATGACTAAACCAATAGGTCTAGGGCCCTTGATTTCTCGACTAAACTGAACAAAAAAGGACACCTATGACTTTGACATGAGCACTTCTTGTGGAGGGCTTGAAGGGGGAGGGGGTTGCCTACTGCGCAGACTCGTCTTCCACGCGCCTTCAGCATTGCTTCCGCGCGACTTCCGCGCTTTTCCTCGTGAGTTCTGTGTTTTGTGTTGGCCCTGGCGGCTGTTTTAATATATATATATATATAATATAATATACACAGAGACACATGTCACTAGCCCCGGCAGTTCCGCATCTCTTCCGCCACCCTTCCACGTTTCTTCCCGCAAACAGCGGAAAGCTTATACCATACTTGCCAGGAAACTCGACATTTCCCACACCAAACACTTTTGTTTTTAACGACGACCCCCGTATGTTTCCGCGTACCGCGCTCTCCGCCTCCACGCTCAACAGTCATCAGGCGAAGCCTTGGTGCCGGTGCCGATGCAAAGGGCAACACATGAGGAATCTCCGGGAGAGAAGCTATCACGGGGCACGTCTCCCCCTACCACCCCTTTGCCCCGCCGGCGAGGTTGATATGTTTCGACGAAAACATGGAGAAACAGCCGGCGCATGCCTGGTTCTTAGGTTTCAATCCCAAGAAGCTTGGTTCGATCCCCTTCAGATGTGAGACACGCAAACACAGAACGGCATCATCTTCGATAGCTGTAGTTCAAACCTCTCAAAGCGGATAACTGCATGCTGCAAGCCCTTTAGAACCACAAAGAGTCCTTGATTCTTGTCTGGATCTCATGTCATTGGCAAAAAACACGCTTTTTGAAGGCATCATGGCATCTTCCCCCTAACCTCCAGATCCCAAACGCTATAAGCCACCCCACCCTAAATCAGCCCTTAACTCTAACCCAACCCCCACACAATCCATGTAATACTAAACCTTGTGCCCCGTGCCTTCAAGGGAGGGTTTCTGGTGGGGGCGTCCCCAAACTCCATTTTTCCTATTCTTCTCAAAAAAGAAAGAATGACAAAACATATCAAACCTTCCTTAACAACCTTCTAGGAACTTGGCAACCTTGACAAGGCTTTGAAGGCAGTCTTGCCAAGCTCCTTGCTCAACCCGCAAACCCACTGAGGCCTCCGGCATGCACGCCTCTGCCATCCTCTTCTCGCTTTCTCGTTTGGCCCTCTCCGTTGAGGTCTCCCCGAGCCGAGGTCGCTCCACCGCCTGCGTTGGATGAAATGCGTCCACCGCCTCACTCACGCACTCAAGTTCGCAACGGGGCCTCTGTGGGCGCAGCTGATTTAGTGGGGGAGGGGGGATGAGGCCCAAAAACGGCAACAGCAATCAAAAATATGAACCTATTCGCCTTGAATGCTCCCAGTTCGCCCGGTCTTGCGGCAGGTACCACATGCAAAGCAGCAACAGCGTGGACTCCTCTGAAGTGGGCCCTCAGCCCAAGAAACTCCATGGGCTTCGGTAATTCTGGTCTACCCAGAACCATGCTTCAAGAATCAAGAAGGCGGCCGCAGCTATTTATAGGTGGGATTGTCCCTTACTAACCTTCATCTACCCAGGTCTTGATTGTGCCTCAAATGTGGCTTTTGGTGAAGCCAAAAGCCATAGCCCTCACTTCCCGTCAAGTGGTGTGGCCAAAAAAGTAACCAAACTCTTGTTTGCCACTCAGATGGTCTTACTTCCAACAGATTTGGTCCCTAAGGGGCGTGCCAGGAGGGTATCTCTGTGGTCCCTGTAGGTTTCTTGCCAGGTTCGGCCAGCCCACTCCAACCGTTCACGTTCAAGCGAGTGCCCGACCAAAAAAAAGGTAAAACTGAAGTCCATGAGCTCGGAAGTGAGGTTCAGGGGCTGGATTTCCCCAAATCAAAAGATCATCCATTTGCTGGTGGGTTCAATTGAAACTGCAACACCTCTGGGAGTGCAAAAAGGAAATTCAAGGACCCCGGTTGTTGGGCACTCCAAGCACCCACAAACACACACAAAACAGAAAGGGAGCCCCTTGTTGAGGTGTTTGTTTTGGGGAACCCGAAGCAACCTAATTCATATGCGAAATCCCCTCCATATCACATCAGTAAAAAGCAGCCTTTGATAAGCCCCAAAAGCGGTACCCTCAAACAAAGACTCACTGGAAGGGGAAGTTTTAGGGGGCAATGCAGCTGTCAAGCTGTCTGTCAAAGGGGCAAGTGTCAGATGTGAAGCAGGTTCGAATGGCAAGTCAACTCAAGACCCAGAGAATTGAGCGAGAATCTGGTTGGCCTCTTGTCTACCAGCCGCTCCCCCCCCCCGCTTGCCCCACAGGCTGCTACGGTGACTTTATGGCTGGCTGGCTGACTGACTGTGAAGCCCTGAAGAGAAAATCAAAAGCAGAAAACTTGCTAGTGCTCAGTAGGGAATGACCGAGGATTTGGCAATGAATCTAGGATTCCCTTAAAGGAAATCATAGGGGATGGTTTATAGGGCTCATTCCACTTCATTCCCTGCTGAGAACCAGCAAGAAAAGGACTTGGATCAGTGTGGCCAAGGTTGAACCACCCAAAACGCGCACGCCTTCATCTCATGCTTCACCATCTCCAAAGGGGTTTTGCCGTCCTCTGGAGCCAGAGTTTACCGGCGCTTGCCGACTCCCAAAACCGTTGAAACAACAAGTAGTTCAAGCAAGGAAGCAAACTTGGGCGTCACAAAATCATCTGATGTGGAGGTGGCTATTCGCAAGTATTGGAGCAGTCAGTGCATCAGAATGCTCGGCAAGAAGAGCCGACTGCGCCCTGTGGGGTGCTGTATCTCCATATCTTTAGAGTGCAAAAACATGCTTGAGTCGCACCGGCTTCTTTATAAGTCGGCAGGACAATAGCAAGCACGCATCATGATTACTTTGAGCATACTGCCCACAACCGCTCAAAAAATATAATGTTCCTTGCAACAGTCCGACCCATCTCAGAGCGTTCTCTACAGCCCAAACTCAGGGATCCTCGCAATCAAAAGCTCTCTCTCTCTCTCTATATACAGCAGGTTGAAGCACGTAGCCCGTTTGCAAGGTTGTATGACAAACATGCCAGATTCTCGAATTTCGCCTAGTCCACCACACGCTCATGAATCAAAGCCTCCCGTTGCTGCACCAACTCTTTCTCCAATGCTACAAGTAAGGTCCGGCAGGGCCGGGGGGCGGAAGTTTCAAAAATATAAAAACTATAGTTCCCTTTCTCTTTCTTTTCTTGACTTTTTTTCTCTTCTTCTTCCTTTTCATTGTTTCCTTTTTCCCCGTCATTCTTCCTTTCTTCCTTTCTTTCCTTCCTTCCTCCCTTCTTTCCTTCTTTCTATCTGTCTTTTCTTTTCTTTCTTTCTTTCGTTTGCTTGTTTTTGCGCTGTTCTCTCTTTTGTCTCTTCTTTGTCTATCTATTTGTCTGTCTATCTATTTTTCTCTACCTATGTATCTATTTCTCGTGCTATCTATCTATCTGCTTATCTATCTATCTATCTCTCTATCTATCTTCTCTATCTATCTATCTTTCTATCTCTCTATCTATATATCTACCTATCTCTCTATCTCTCTATCTATCCATCTATCTATCCATTTATCTATCTGTTTATCTATCTATCTCTATCTCGCTCTCTTTTCTCTCTATCTATCTATCTATCTATCTATCTCTCTCTATCTATCCATCTATCCCTCTCTCTCCATCTCTCTTTCTATCTGTCTATCGATCTATCTATCCATCTATATCTGCACTTAAAAGTTGCGATTTTCAAGCACGAAACTTGACTTCGCGTACTACTTTCGTACTTAAAAAATGCGATTTTCGAGCCCCAGCTGCGAAAGTGGACATCACGTACTACTTTCGTACTTGAAAGTTGTGATTTTCCAGCCCCAGCTGCGAAAGTTGACTTCTTTCATACTTAAAAGTTGCGCTTTTCAAGCGCCAGCTGCGAAGTGGACTTCGCGTACTACTTTCGTACTTAAAAGTTGTGATTTTCAATCCCCAGCTGCGAAAGTGGACTTCACGTACTACTTTCGTACTTAAAAGTTGCGATTTTCCAGCCCCAGCTGCGAAAGTGGACTTCACGTACTACTTTCGTACTTTGGAGCTCCAGCTGCGAAAGTTGACTTCGCGTATTACTTCCGTACTTAAAAGTTGCGATTTTCGAAAGTGGACTTCACGTACTACTTTCGTACGTAAAAGTTGCGATTCTCAAGCCCCAGCTGCGAAAGTTGACTTCGCGTGCTACTTTCGTACTTAAAAGTTGCGATTCTCGAGCCCCGGCTGCGAAAGTTGACCTTGCGAAAGTGCTGCGCCTGCCACGAAATCTCAAACCTTGCGAAACCTTCGCGCGGCCGTGCCAATGGGCCCGTCTCCGAACCCGTTCCGAACCCGTTCCGAGACCGTTCCGAGACCGTTCCGAGACCGCCTCCGTACAGGCGTCGCAGCCGAGGTGGTTTGCGCACTGTCCGGAAGCCCAATTCATGCACAGCGCCAACGTTTTCTGCATCTTGCCATCCCCCAGCTCGCAGAGAGTGCTTGCGAAAGTGCTGCGCCTGCCACGAAATCGATACTTGACCTTGCGAAAGTGCTGCGCCTGCCACGAAATCTATACTTGACCTTGCGAAAGTGCTGCGCCTGCCACGCAATTCAAACCTTGCGAAACCTTCGCGCGGCCGTGCCAATGGGCCCGTCTCCGAACCCGTGCCGAGACCGTTCCGAGACCGTTCCGAGACCGTTTGCTGCGCCTGCCACGAAAAAAGCTATCTATGTGTTAAGCTGGCTATATGTCAAAGCTATCTATCTGTTATGCAAGCCTATTGGAAAGCTATCTATTTGTTAAGCTAGCTATATGTCAAAGCTATCTATCTGTCATGCAAGCCTATTGGAAAGCTATCTATTTGTCAAGCTAGCTATATGTCAAAGCTATCTATTTGTCATGCTAGCTACCTGTTATAGCTATATGTCAAAGCAGCTAGCTCATTTAGTTCTAGTACTACGGAAGTTTCTTGTTAAACTTCCTTTGATAATGATTTATATAATTGATGAATGGCTCAAACATTGGCTACGAGCCTCTGTTTTGGGAAAATATGGGTGGATTGGATACCGAGGAAAAATAATTCATTCGATTGTTTACTCCTATGAATGAAAACATGCTTTATATCTTAGGATTACATAGGTTCAATTTAAAACCCGAATTTCATTTGAATTACAAAAAAAAACATTATTTGGCGTATGAAAAGCATCGGGAGAATTTTAGAGGTATATTCCAAAGAACATAGACTGGATAGCTTGTTTTTAATTTATGGTGGTGTTCTTTATAATTGTTTTATTTAATTTGTTTTTGGTAGAAATCTTATTCCTGGAATTATAAGGAATGTGTATCGTTTATCGGTATTCTCGGTCTTTGTTTTGTGTTTAATTTAAGCCTTATTTTTGTAGAGGGGTGATATAACGTATATGCTTAAAATAATGCTAGATTCTAAATGGACGAACTTCTATTTTCCAATTCTATTTTATTATGAATAATTTTGAATAGTTATTTATATTTTTTTAAATAGAAATATTTGATAAATACCTATTTACTAATATTAAAATTATATTATTATATTTTTATATATATTTTTTTTATTTTTATCTTTTATTAAATATATTCAATCAGACATTAATATTATGCCAAATAAAATCCATTTTTTTCTAAATTATTCTTATTCCTAAAATTAATGAATATTATTTAATATTTATTAAATTCTAAATAATTTATTTTATATATTTTCTTTTATTCTTTTTTTATTATAATAATTTCTATTATATTTTTAATTTTCTTTATATTATGACCTATTCAAAATTCTAAAATAATATTAACAATATATTTATATAGTATTATCGGGGGTCCGCTGCTTTCCAGTAGCGTTCGAAATGAAGCCCATAGCAGGAAATAGAGCATGAAATAAAAATACATTTCAATTTGATAATTATAGATAGATATACACGATTATACTCACAAAGACAGAAATACGTAGACCGAGCAAGCGCTTAATAAAAAACGATTTCGGAATATTTTGAGAAAATAATTGATTATGATTTTAAACCTTTGTTTTAATTCCTACCCAAACAAAATTCTAAAAATCTAAATATCTAAAGACGAATTATAGATGGATTTTCTCAGCAACACCTCAATATATTTCCTAAAACACTACGAACGATGTACAAAACAATAGTGTATCTCAAGTGCCCGATGCCAACGAATCAATGAAAGGCGATCGCCTAAACAATGGAAACCATATAAATTAATAACCTGAGGAAAAAAGGGAAAAAAAACAAATCCATACCAAACTATCATCGACCACAAACCATCCTAAATATAAACAAAACCGAACAGAATAATAGTAAAATATCTAAAAAACATATTTTCCTAATTTTTCAAACAATATTATTTATAATAGTCGTTCCATATTAAATTATACAAACCTCGAAAAACAAAAAAATCGATTCCCATTTTGTCACTTCCCCCACCAAACTGGGACCAGTAGGGGATCAATTTGGGCACTTCCCCCACCAAACTGGGACCAGCAGGGGATCAATTTGGGCACTTCCCCCACCAAACTGGGACCAGCAGGGGATCAATTTGGGCACTTCCCCCACCAAATTAGGACCAGCAGGGGATCAATTTGGGCACTTCCCCCACCAAACTGGGATCAACAAGGGATCAATTTGGGTTTCCCCCACCAAATTGGGACCAACAGGGGATCAATTTGGGCACTTCCCCCACCAAATTGGGACCAACAGGGGATCAATTTGGGCACTTCCCCGACCAAACTGGGACCAACAGGGAATCAATTTGGGCACTTCCCCCACCAAATTGGGACTAATAGGGGATCAATTTGGGCATTTCCTCCACCAAATTGGGACCAATAGGGGATCAATTTGGACATTTCCCCCACCAAATTGGGACCAATAGAGGATCAATTTAGGCATTTCCCCCACCAAATTGGGACCAGCAGGGGATCAATTTGGGCATTTCCCCCACCAAATTGGGATCAACAGGGGATCAATTTGGGCACTTCCCCCACCAAAATGAAAAAGGTCTTTTTCTCTGCATTAAAATAAAAACAAAAGAATTCCCCTAGAGAAATCTCTATCAAATAGTCTAAGGATTTCATTGGACTTGACGAAAGCTTGTAAGATTGTTCCTCATCAACACATCCTGAAAATGGCTTTTGGGCCCCCTAATTTGGAAGATTTGTATTTTTAAGGCAGGACGAGTTTTAGCGAGCCCTGCTAAACGGTAGAGTCTAGGAGCCTTGTTTAAACCCTAAACCCTCATTTCCTTGCAATTTTTGCCAACAAATCAATTTGTCATTGTTTCCAACTTGCAATATTTAGCTACATTTTTTTTAAAAAAAAAAATCATTCCATTCCTTTAAAACAATATGTTATAAAAAATGTTCAAACAAAATATACCAATATAATATATCCAAAAACCAAAACAACAATCAACAAATTTTCGGGCTTCATACCCCAATAATACCTATCATTAATCTTCATCATTAAATTATTCAAATTTACAATATAATTTAAATCATAATATGTTTTAAACCTTTATCTTAAATCC